CGCGCCGGGCAACGTGGGCTGCGACCAGCTGCTGTGCAACGACGTGAACTGCACCGACGTGTTCACCACGGGCGTGGACGCCTCGGGCGCAGTCTCCTGCGCTGCGCTCACAGCCACAGGCACCGTCGCCGGGGCCGCGCTGTCGTCCACGGGGGCCGTGTCAGGCAGCTCGCTGAGCATCAGCGGCGCGGCCAGCGTGGGCCTGCTGAGCTCCGCCACCGGAATCACGGGCAGCACGCTCACCATCAACAACACGGCCAACGCCGGGAACTTCACCACGGTGGGCGACGTGTCCACGGGCACGCTGACGGCCTCGGGCGCAGCAACCGCGGCGAGCTTCGCGGCCACCGGGGCGCTCACGGGCGCCACGCTGACCATCACCGGGGCGGCCTCCGCGGGCCCGCTGGACTGCGAGAGCCTGGGCTGCACCTTCACGGCCACGAGCGGAGGAGTGTCGACGGGCAGCGTGGTGTGCGGCGACGTGACGAGCTCGGGCACGGTCTCCGCGCCGCAGCTCTTCGCCTCCAACACGCACACCGTGACCAACACCTCCGACTTCTCGGACGATCTCTTCTTGACGAAGAACTGGGCGGGCTGGAGCAAGCTGCAAGTGTCCAACAACAGCGCGGCCCCCGACAGCGGCCAGGAGCTGCGGCTGCTGGGCAACCAGAGCGCGCGGGTCTTCCTGGAGCGGGACGGCGGGGCGCACCAGTGCGAGCTCATCATGATCAACGACGAGGCGCTGGTGCAGACGAAGAGCCTCTCGACGCAGCTGTCCTTGACCACGAACCAGAGGAACCCCGGCTGCCTCGTGATCGCAGGCAACACGGGCAACGTGGTCTGCAACACAAGCTTCACGAATTTGTCGGACAGCCGGGTGAAGACGGAGATGGCGGAGGCCGACGTGGCGGAGCTCCAGCAGCTCTTTGACTCCGTGGAGGCCAAGCAGTACAAGCGCCCGGACATGAACGAGGACCTGAGGCTGGGCTTCGCCTTGGACGACTTCGCAGGAACAAAGTGGAAGAATTTGACGGGCACCGCCCGGTGGAGCGACGGCACGGAGATGGTCACCCTCGACTACTCTCACCTCACCAGCGTGCTGTGGGGGGTGTGCAAGGGTTTCCAGGCCCGGCTGGACGAGGTGGAAGCCTGGCAGGCCCAGCGGGGGCCGAAGAACAAGTAGGAAAAAAAACTGAAAAATCCGGGCCCGTCCCCAAGGGGGCGGATTAGCGTCATGATGATTGTGAAGTGACTGGAGATGCAAAGGATGCGTGGACGTCATTATCAGTATGCCTCCTGGTGATGCTGAAGATGTTGGGGAAAAATCCGGGCCCTTCCCCAAGGGGCCGGATTGAGCCGACGTTTAGTGGAACCTTGTTAGCTCCTTTGGGCTGCAACAAAAGCTCGTTTTTTTTTTGGAGGGCGTGCTGGTGAGGGATCTGGCCGACGACTTCAACGTGCGTGACCCGCGGAAGCTGTACCGACTCGCGAGGCAGCGCGACCTCGACGTGACGCAGGCCATGGCCTTCGAGGCGCTGAAGGCCGACGTGGGCCGGCAGGTGCAGGCGCCCCGGCCGCGCGCGCTGGGCATGTCGGCCGCCGAGGGGCCCAACGACCGGCTGCAGGCCGACCTCATCGACTTCAGCCAGAACACGCGGGGGAAGACGAAGTACGGCCTGGTGGTGATGGACGTCTTCACCCGGGAGGCCGCCGTGGAACCTCTGCAGAACAAGAACGCCGAGACGGTGGGCCGCGCCACCAAGCGCGCCGCGCGGGAGCTGACGGGGGACGACGGGAACTTCGTAATCACGACAGACCTGGGCAACGAGTTCGCCACGCTGGACCGGGAGCTGCCCGCGGAGGCCGTGCACCGGACGAAGCGGCCCGAGGACCGCAACGCCATTGCCGTGGTGGACCGGGGCATCCAGACGCTGAAGAAGGACCTGGCCACGAGGGCGGCGCGCAAGGGCGGGCAGTGGAGCGACCACTTTCAGCAGACCGCTTCGGCCTACAACGCGCGGCCCCACGAGACGGTGCACGGCGCGCCCGAGGACGTGGAGAAGCAGCCGGCCACGGAGTTCAGGGTCCTCCAGGACAACGCCGACAAGTTCCAGCACAACAAGGACCTCACCGAGCGGCGCGTGAAGGCCGTGCAGGACGCGGGCGCCTTCCGAGCGCCGACGAACGCGGCGAGGAGCTTCAACCCTCAGTACGGCGACGTGCAGCGGCGGGGGGCCGTGGACTCCATGACCGTCCGCAGCACGGAGGGGCGCGAGACCCTGCTGAAGCTGGCGCTGCCGGCGCCGCAGGGCAGCGGCAACGCGGCGGGCCGGCTGACGAGACGGGGCAGACCGGCGGCTGTAAGGCAGCTGGACGACTTCCTGGGGCCTCCGAGGCCCAGGACCCTTGACTAGCCTTTGAAAAATGATTTTTTTAGGCACGACCCGGCCTCCCTGCGTCCAGGGAACCTTGATCGGACCCCGTTTTGGCGCAAAAAAAAAACTTTGATCACACTCAAGTTGGAATTGCCTGATCGAGCTAAAACACTAGAAAAAAAGGTTTCGAGGCATTGCGCAGGCTGGGGGGGAATTCCCGGGGCCTGCTCATCTCCTTTTTTTGGGTTAGGGTTTGGGGTGCTCGGGAAACCAACGGGTTGGGCGAACCAAGCAAATGAGCGGGGGCTGGCATGGGCAAACCGTGCAAAACCGTGCAAAAAAAGCTATTACTCCAAGGTGTACATACATGTACGGCCTGTAGTAATAGCATTTTTGTTGCGCAAAACCGTGCAAAACGGTGCAAATGTCCCTTTAGGGTTTGGGGTCCTCGGCAAACCAAACGGGTTGGGCGGGCCAGTATCAAGCCCAAACGGGTTGGGCGGACCAGGTTTCCACGCGTAGAAACGAGACTGTCTGGGATTCTACGGGCCCATGTGAGGCTTATCACGAATCTGTAGTCCGAACCAAGTGGCTACTGGCCAAGAGTTTCACACTGCTCGAATCGATAGGTCCCCAGACACCTTGCGCAGGGACCTATCCGTAAGCACTTAATTGCGTGGACAACTTTGCAGTACTTTTTGAGCCAAACCGCGCGTTTAAAGAGAACAGCCGCCCAAACACTTAGGAATTGGGAGGGGGAAAAAACTTTGAGCAAGGTCAGCAACTGTGACAGGGACTCATGTAGGACTCATGCAGGACTCATGTAGGACTCATGTAGGACTCATGTACGACTCATGTACGACTCATGTACGACTCATGTAGGACTCATGTAGGACTCATGTAGGACTCATGTAGGACTCATGTAGGACTCATGTACGACTCATGTAGGACTCATGTAGGACTCATGTAGGACTCATGTAGGACTCATGTAGGACTCATGTAGGACTCATGTACGACTCATGTACGACTCATGGGCTCATGTAGGACTCGCTGGGCAGGTAAGTCTGCACACTGTTGGCAAGGCTCTCAGCTGACAGACTCACATTGCTAGAGTTTGTAATGCGCGAAACCACCAGGCCTGCAACGAACTGTCTCCACAGCTCCTGTTGGGACAGCTCGGGCATTCCCAGCGAAATCCCCTTTCCTCCAGAGTCAAGCTGAGACACAGGCAGGGGGTGAGGTAAGAGAATGGAACAAAGGGTTTGTGTTGTTGACACGCAAAGCTCTCCTTCTGGTGTACACGTTGATCTTGGATGCTGCGATGAACAGTTCCTCTTCCGCTTTGTTTGCCTGATCCCATGGGTGGCAAAAAAAGTGTAAAAACGGACACTCAAAACTCCAATCTTCGTCGTCGCCCTTCTGCAAAACAGCTCAGAATGGAAAGTTCAAGCGAGGCTCCCAAGCTCTTAAGCGCAGGACTTTCTTGAGGCCATCCACCTTCCCGCGAAGCATGATCAACATTTCCAAAGGCGAACTAGAGCTGATGCAAATCCTCTTATCCTGTGATGCAGCTGAGGTCGCTGCGTTTGTCAAAACATCTTTGACCTGAAAAACGCGCAAGTAATCCAATTCACGTCCATCCGTTTAACCAATGACTCCGGGATTCTCGCAAACACTTTCGGTTTTTGGTGGTGGGGTTGGGAGTTCTTCTGAGAAAAAAAAGGCTCCATTGACAGCTTCTCATGAACATGAATGCTGAGTAGGCAATACTGCATACTGTTTGTAAGGTCCTGGCAGGTCTTCTCGGCTGACATGTCTAGAATAAAAACAGCTCATTTTGACAGCTTTTTCGTGAACATGAATGCTGGGTAGGCAATACTGCACACTGTTTGTAAGGTCCTGGCGGGGCTTCTCGGCTGACATGTCTAGAAAGAATAGAAAAAACAGCTCATGTGACAGCTTTTGTGATCATGAATGCTGGATGAGCAAAGCTACACACTGTTGGTAAGGTCCTGGTAATGCTTCTCATCTGACGTCTAGAATAAAATCCGCTGGAGCAGCACGTGCAATGTAAAACTCATTCAGGGCTTGTGTGTAAGGATGCCGCGTGACCGCAAACTGTAGCAAATCAATTCACGCACAAGCTCACCCCGACCACGCCAAAGGTCAAGCTGGTGGCGGCGCTGAAGCAGTACATAGGCGCCCAACTGCCGGAGGAGAAGCTGAACGCGACTGCTTTCAGCCAGTCGCTTGATGCGCTGTGTACGACCAAAGTGCCATATGGCACCACAGAGCGCTTGATGTTGAACATCACGCGAAAGTACGTCCGCCTCGTTGGCCCCCCGTGATTTTTTCCCGTTTATGTCATTGGTTGAAGAGGACATTTGAGATGTGTCGGAGGGCCAAAACAGGGCTGGGCACACGAACAGGCACAGATGCAGGACTGCCGCGTGGCAAAAACGTGGCCTCCTTGCCGATGCATTGCTGCGTGCTTTCGTTGAGAAACATCTGCATGAACTCAGTGTACTCGCTGTTCAGCAAGATCTGGCTGGCCCTCTTGATGACGGCAGGCTGCCGCTCCAGGCGACCACCTCCACCAGTGCAGAATGCCTGGAAGGCTGCAGTGGCCACGTGGATCATTCCCGCCTTCAACTCCGTGGTGTAGAAAGCCCCGCTCTTGAGGTCCTCCTGGATGCGAGGCCTCTGGAACGGCCCAACCGGAGCCAACTTGAAGGAGACCGGCCACGAGCAGCCGATGAACCGGCGCCTCACGCCGGAGTCGATGCTGGTGAAGTTGATCTTCAGGTTGGTGGACAGCGCAAACAGGGCAGGGATCCTGAACTCGTGTTCCTGCTTGTAAAGGGTGCGGGCAACCCAGCGGGTGCTCTGGTCCGCCAGCAGCTTCACCCAGATGCTCTTGATGGCAATGGACTTCTCGGATTCCGGGGTGCCCAGAAAGCGGGCGCCTTGCAGCCTGTAGACTTCAGGCGAGGCCGCGGATCCGCTGGGAATGTCCTTTGACACAACCTGGACGGGCAGCTCCTCGTAGTACCCGCCGAAGACCGAGCGGAAGGCAGCTGCAAGGACCCCCTTGCCGTTGTCACCCTCCTCTCCCAAGTCGAACACAGAGTTCTCGTGGCTAACGCCAAGGCAAGCACCAAGGGCCTTCATGGTCCGGAAGACCGTCGCCTGCCACCCACCATGCTCCTCCGGCTGCGGGCACTCCGCTGGGTCGTACTGGGGCGTGAAGCTGTTGTGCATCAGCTGGAAGAACCGGAGGTGGGGAATCTCGTCGGTGAGCAGTTCCAGCTTCTTGCGGATGGACTCAGGGTACACGGCGACCTCGGCGTTCAGCGGGTGGCCCTCCCACTCGACGATCTCCCGGAAGACCTCCAGGCAGCTCGTCCCGAGCTCTTGCTCCTTTGCAGCGATCGCGCCCAACTGCTCCTCGGGATACGCGTAGTCCAGGTGGCGCTTGATGCACTGCTGGGCCGAGGCGGATCCGACCTCACCGGTCCTGATGTTGAGGGTGGTGCCGCACGCAAACGTGACGAGCTGCCAAGTGTCTTCGCCATCAACTCGCTCCAGGAACCGCCCATCGAACAGCGGCTGAGCCAAGCGGTTTGCGATGTTGCGGGTCAGCGAGCCCGTCACGAACGCATCAGGGGCGTCCAGCTCCGCGACCCCTGTCAGGCTGCACAGCGCCCGCACCATGTCGCACTCGAGCTCGTCATCGATCTGACCGTGTGACAACTCCCACACCATGCCGTTCGGGAGAACCTTGGACTTGAAGAAGTCCAAGGCTTTGCCGGCGCACGGCGAGATCCTGCGACAGATGTTTGAGAGTACCGCCCAATCCAGTTGTATCATGTGAACAAGAAGGAAAAAAGTATCTAAGCTTGGTCAAGGCGCTTGTACTTGTCTCTCAGCAGCACACCAGGCTGGAGCAGTCGCGTCGTGAGTGTCCTGGCCAACCAAACCACTGGCGGAGCGCAGTTCGGATCCTTCAGTCGCCGCGCACACTGGATAGCGTACTGCTCCTCCTCCTCCCACCTGAAAGACGCCGGCCACAATGCGAGGTGCATCTCTAGTCCGGCCGCGTGGGCCACAGTCTGCAGAAGCTCGGCCCGAGGGCGATATGGCTTGTAGGCAAAGCGGTTGCCGAGGGCCTCCTCGATGTGCTCCCACGTGGATGCCGGATGTCGCTCGACGACCAGGCCGTCCAGCTCGCAGCAACGCACTTTGGCAATGCGCTTGATGCGTTGCGAGGCAGAATCCAAGTGGCGACGCTCGGACTCGCTGTTCAGAACGTAGCACACTGCATCCCTGAGCGCCTGCCCCTCCCGGCCGCTCAAGGCCAGCCTCCTCGCCAACTCTGGGAACCTCTCAACGTCCAACCCCATGCCGGTCCTGATCTCCTGCCAGTACATCCGCAGCGGCTCTGGAAGGGTTGTGACGCCGGCCTCATCGCACCACTGCCTGATGCCGCTTTCTCCAAGCCCCATCGCCCGGTTGATGAAGCCTTTCGCCACACTGCGGTGTCCATGAAGGACCCGTTGACCCATCTGCCGACCCAAAGCAGCGAGGGGTGCCTCTCCAAGAAGGCGGCTGGGAAGCTGGCCTTCATGTCATAGTCGCGGATGAAGTCGCCGTTCTCCAGCCCACCACGAAGCAACTCCTTCACATCCTTGCGGTATGTGAAGGCGGACCTGGTGGCGTCATAGCCTGACGAGCACTTGAAACCAAGGCTCTCCGCCTCGTCCTCCGTCATCGCACTGATCCCTGACCAGGCGCGCCCCTTCTTCTGCGCAAGCGTCAGAAGATTGTCTTCCTTGTACCATGATTCAATGCCGGAGCCTCCGGAGGCAGCATTCCGCTCAAGCATCTGACAGCAGGCCAGCCGCAGAGAAGCAAAGCCCTGCACATGCTTGCGGTTGTCAGCAAAGCGGGTGTCGGCGTACAACGACAGGGGCATCTTGCCCAGCTCCGCAACGAACACAGGGTCGATGAAATCGGAAATCTTGAAGGAGACACAAGATTCCGTCGGGTTCTCAGGCTCGGCCCGGGACTTGCCTTTGGCCCTTGGCTTAGGCTGCCCCCTGCGCCTCGCGCCACCTCCGGATTTGACCACCTGTTCCAGGCATGGAGAGTCATGCCGGAAACGGAAGAAAAATGACGCGCCTGATCACCACCTCCACGGGCTCGCGCGCCGTCACCGGATCTGTCCACCTAGACACGAAGTGTGCGCAACTCATGCCGGAAACGGAAGAAAAATGACGCGCCTGATCCTCGCTTCCACGGGCTTGCTCACCACCGCCGGATCTGTCCACCTAGACACGAAGTGTGCGCAACTCATGCCGGAAACGGAAGAAATGACGCGCCTGATCCTCGCTTCCACCGGCTCGCTCACCACCGGATCTGATCGCATGTTCCTGACACGGAGAGTGCGCAACTCGTGTTGCCCAAAATGAAAGAAAAATGCGCCTGACCACCACCTCCACCGGATCTGTCCACCTAGGCACGGAGTGTGCGCAACTCGCGTTGCCCAAAATGAAAGAAAAATGCGCCTGACCACCGTCTCCACCGGATATGCCCGTCTGTTCCTGGCACGGAGAGCGCACAACTCGAGTTGCCAAAAAAATGAAAAATGTGTCTGATCGGCCCCTCCGCGGGTTCGCTCACCACCGCCGGATCTGTCCACCTGCTCCAGGCACGGCGTGTTGCCGGAGATGAAAGAAACAAATGCGCCTGATCACCACCTCTCAGCCTGTGCCTGGCAAGCGTCGACGTTTGCCTAACCCCTCAACACAGCTCGCGAAGAGAAAAAAAAGCGTCCCTGCCTGGCCACAGCCGGGGGGCAGCACGAGTGCTGGGCCCCCCCAGCTCGCCTGCTCTCCAACCTCCTTGCCGCAAAGGCCCCCACTCCGCCCCAGCAAACCCCCGCCACCACCGTCCTGGTCCGGGCTCGGCATCTGGGGGCTCCTGCTCGGCGCACGTTTCATGACCTAAGATTCGCACAACAGCAAGCACATCCATCCTCATCCGGACTTGGGCCCTGACCCCGGACAAGTCGCGAAAAAACAAGCCACGCCCTCCTACCCGCCTATACAATGCCAAAATGGCTCCCGCGGCATGCACAATCTCACAACTCGCACACAAGTCACAAGGATCGCAAAATTCAACACACACGACAGTCGAACCATGCGCCCCCCCCCTGCCGGATACCCCCAAAAAAAATGCAAAAATCACCCCAAAAAACGGGCCGTAAAAGGCCCGACTTTTGTGGGTCTTGTTTTTTTACCTCATGCTTGACAAAACATGCATTTTCCGATGCTTCTTCTAGTTTTTTTCCTCCACACTCTCGGCACTCCCTCGCGCCGTGCTTCCCATTCTGGGGGGCATTTGCCTACATGAGTCCTACATGAGTCCTACATGAGTCCTACATGAGTCCTACATGAGTCCTACATGAGTACCTACATGAGTCCTACATGAGTCCTACATGAGTCCTACATGAGTCCTACATGAGTCCTACATGAGTCCTACATGAGTCCTACATGAGTCCCTACATGAGTCCTACATGAGTCACGGGGGCGCATGGAGCGGCGCGCGTGCGGTTTTTCGCGGGCTGCAGTAATAGCATTTTTTCAGCGCAAAACCGTGTAAAAAGCTATTTCTCCCCAACGATACGGGCACGTATGATCGGGGAGAATGCGCGGCCCACCAAAAAAACTGGCCCCGTAAAAAAAGAATGGCAAGTTGGGCGAGACAACGACAGCAGATCACGGAGGCCGCGGACGGCGGCGCCCGGGCTCGCACGGGGGCGGATGGTGCCGTCGTGCTGAACCTGCGGCGCGGCCCGGGGGCCTACGCGCTGCTCTCGCGCGCGGACGGGCAGCTGACCCGGGCGGGCCAGCACTACTACTCCCACCTGGGCCTGCGGCCCCCCAGCAAGGACTTCGACTACAACCAGCCCCTCATCCGCGAGGGGCCCAACGACTACATCCTGCTGCGCAACGGGCAGAAGAAGCTCGTGCGCTCCCTGCAGGGCGGAGAGCACCGGCTGACCAAGCTGGGCAAGGGCTTCTTCCGCGACAAGTACTACGAGTACCTGGTCCACGTGCCGGTGATCATCCGGGGCAGGCGGCGCAGCGGGCGGAACGCGGGCGCGGGCTACGAGCGCAGGGACTGGCTGCCGGTGAACGAGCTGGGCGGGGCCACGAGGCACCCGGCGCACCTCACGGAGGAGCAGGTGGCGCAGCGGGTCAGGCAGCAGGTGGAGGCCTCGCTCGATCCGGGCGGCCCCATCCTGCAGCTCTCGGACGAGACCTACTTCCTTGGACCCCGAGGGGCACTGGGTGGTCAGCACCCAGAGCACGTGCTACAGGAACTCCAGGACGGAGGTGGAGACGCTCCTGCGCCAGCGCATGAGGGGCCTGAGGAGCGTGAGCTTCCAGCTGCCCTGCGAGGAGGACGTGCTGCCGAGCGCCTTCGAGGACAAGCCGCTCTGCGTGCCCCGGCAGCTGGCCGAGCTGCTGCAGCTGAGCGTGGAGGAGGTGTGCGCGGACTTCGACGCCATGCTGCGCCACGACTGGAGGCGCCTCGGCATCTCCGCCGAGGAGGTGCGAGAGTTCTGCGTGTGGCGCAACGCCCCCATGCGCGTGCTGAGCTCGCAGGGCGACCTGGTGGACAGCTACGACCCGGCGCTGAAGGAGCACCGCACCGTGTGCTTCCTGGCCTTCGACGGGCACTGCTACATGTACAGGGCCGTGAAGAGGGTGCTGGAGCGGCAGGCGGCGCGCGTGCTCTACCGGGGCGAGGCGAGGCAGACCCTGCCGCCCATCCAAGAGTGGAGGCGCTTTGACGCCGCGGACGTGCAGCCGGGCCTGTTCTGGTGCGAGGACCTGCGCGAGGCGCGGCGCCAGCTCATGGCCGTCGGCGAGAGCCCCAAGGTGGCCATCAGCAGCCCGGCGCAGTACTGCGGGCTGAGGCTGAGGCGGGGCACCAGGATCCGAGAGCTGCCGGAGGAGCACGAGGTGCTGCGGAGGTGGTGCGAGCGCTCAACCAGGAGTACCGGGGCCAGCGCCTGGCCGGCTTGGCGCACGAGATTTTTTTGAAGCTGCTGAAGGCGAAGCGGGAAGCGCCCGGCGCGGCGGAGAGGCAGAAGACCCTGGCCGCGCAGGACGGCAAGTGCGCGCTGTGCGGCTGCGGGCTGACGGCCGGCACCTGCGAGCTGGACCACGTGGTGCCGGTGAGGCAGGCCTTTGCGGGCAGCGTGCAGACTTTGCAGGCGCTGTGCGGCGACTGCCACAGCGAGAAGACGCTGAGGGAGAGCGCGCAGCCCACGAGCTTGGAGAGCCGCGTGGCCCCCGGCGTCATGGAGTACGTCCGGAGCCCCAAGCTGCCTCCTCTGGTTTTTGAGGCGCAGACGTGCGCAAAGGACGCGCTGTACGTGGGCGTGGACGTGGTGCGCTGCAGGCGCAACGGGCTGGCCAACGCCCCCTTCCCCCTGCCCATCCTGTGCCCGGCGGACGGCATGTGGGGCCCGGCTGGTACCCGAAAATTTCGCTGGCCGCGATGCTGGACCTGGGCGTCTGCCGCTGGGACCACATCGTGTTGGGCATCTCCGCGCGGAGCCACGTGGACGCGGCGACGCTGCGGCGCGCGCTGGAGCGCATGGACGCCGCTGGCCCGAGGGCGAGGAGCACATGGCCAAGCTCAGCGTGAACGCGATGATAGGCCTGTGGGCGCGCAGCACGGAGGTGGTCTACAGCGTGCGCAGCAGCAGCAGCGAGCTGGACGGCGCGGGCGCGGACTTCTCTCAGGCCTTCGCCTACGAGGGGGGCATGGTGTGGGACTTCGTCTACGCCAGGAGGCTGCTGAGCAACGGCACCTACCGCCCCATCCACGACGCGGTCCTCGGCTTTGAGCACTGCATGGTGGCCAAGGCCCGGCGCATCCTGGACGCGCCGCCGCGGTACCTCGCGCAGGTGAAGACGGACTGCCTGCTGACGCAGCGGCTGCCGAAGCGCTTCGCGGAGCGGCTGCGGGCGCTGGAGGCGCTGCGCCACCCGGACGGCACGCCGGTCTACCGCGTAGAAGAGACGAGGCCGTTGCTGGGCAGCAGGGCGCCGCGCATGGAGGCGGAGCGCCCCAAACAACGGAGGTGGAACGGGGTGGACGACCCTATAAGCCACTGCCTGGCGGGCAACTCCCTGCTGCTCACGGGCCTGCCGGGCACCGGGAAGACGCACCTGGCCCGCACCATTGTGGCGAGGCTGCGAGAGCAGGGCGAGGCGGTGCACCTGGTGTCCAAGACGCACTGCTCCGCGCAGAACCTGGGCCTGGGGGCGCAGACGGCCGACCACTGGGTGCGCAGGTACGTGCGCGGGGGCAGCGCGCAAAAGCTGGACTGGCTGGTGGTGGAGGAGATCACGCAGCTGGACATGGCGCTCTGGGCGGACCTGGCCTGCGTGGGGCTGAACGCCGACGTGAAGTTCCTGCTGCTGGGAGACTTCCGGCAGCTGCCGGCCGTGCTGGACTCCTGGGCCGGGCGGCCCATCAGCGCGCCGTTGGAGCACAGCCAGCTCATCCGCGACCTGGCCGGCGGGCACAGGCACGAGCTCACGGAGAACATGCGCTCCGACCCCGGCATCTTCGACTTCGTGAAGTGGCTGCGGGTCGGCGAGGAGGCGTGCCCCACGCTGGAGCAGGCCAAGGCGAGGCTGAAGGAGCTCTACCCCTCCAAGCCCGGGTGGCCGGACACCACGCTGGTCATCAGCCACAGCAAGCGCATGGCCGTGAACGCAGCGGCGAACCGGGCCCTGGCGCCGGAGGCCTCAAAGCTCCTAGAGTTGGAGACACACGTCATCCACATAGATTTGGGTGAAAATGGGTGTGATACATCCATAACACAAAACAGCCCGCAGAGCATGAGGGTGTGGCCGGGGCTGCGCCTCATCGGGGCCGGCGGAAAGATACCCAAGGGCGTCTTTGTGGCCGTGGCGGAAGTGGAGCCGGACGGAGTGAGGCTGGACAACGGCATGCGGCTGAAGAACCAGGAGCTGCTGCGGGCCACCCGGCCGAGCCACGCAGTTACCTACGCCAGCTGCCAGGGGCTCACCCTCCACAACCGCGTCCGCCTGGACCTGGAGTCCTGCCACCTCACGCTGCGCCACCTGTACGTGGGCGCCTCACGGGCCACGAGCTCCGAGCTGCTGGAGGCGGCCTAGAACGGGCAGCACGGCGCCTCCAGGGGCTCCAGCATGAGGTGGCGCACCTCAAAGAGCACGCCCCACTGCCTGCCCATCAGCCACACGTGCCGGGCCTCCACAAGCGCGCGGCCCCTGCGGCGCGCGAACTCCGCGGGGCGCGGCACGCGGTTGCCGGCCGGGTCCCAGAAGAGGCAGCGCTCCAAGTCCATCTTGCACTTCACGTGCTTGCCCTTGGCGCTCACCTTGACGGCGCGCTGCAGCTGGCTCTCAAGCTCGTGCGGGCGGCCCCCGGAAAGGGCTTCTGGAAGACGATCATGTTGTCGATGACGCCCTGCTCCACCTCCTCCGTCCACAGCTCCAGGTCGGTGTTGCTCGCAAAGCACACGCCCACCCTCTTGGCCCCGTCGTCCTGGAAGTTGCCGGGCTCCCACAGCACCTCCACGTCCGCCTTGCACACCAGCGCGCCCTGACGGGAGTCCTCTATGGACATGAACTTCCCCCCTTTGGCATTGGTCTGAACGTCCAGCCCGAGTGCAAGCTTCATTGCTCGGCTCCTTTTTTTATCCGTAGGAAAAAAATCCGGTCCGATGAACGTGCGAGTTTTCGTCGTCGCAGTGGCGGTGATCTTGCTCTTTAAAAATGCCGAGGCTCCTGGAGCTTTTCTGCGGCACCAAGTCGGTGGGCAGGGCCTTCGAGGCGGCGGGCTGGGAGGTCGTCTCCCTGGACATCGTGTCGAAATTTGAGCCCACCATCCTCTGCGACATCCGGAGCTGGGACTACACGACGTTTCCGGGGCACTTCGACATGGTTTGGGCCAGCCCCGTCTGCACG